AAGTCTACAGTGAACATTTTACAATTTTATTCAGAAATATAGAATAATACCACGTTTTTATATATGATTTTTTGCAAAATAATGCGCCATTATAACGGCTTCTGTATGAAAAAATAACAGTAGTAAAGATTTAAAAAAAATATATGTTATTTAAGAAGATGTACTTAATCTAATTGCAGAAAAATATATTTATTTTTATTCATAATATTACTGTAAAAAATATTCAAACATCCCCATGTTTTTCGCAAAATGACGCTCCGAGAGGTCTGGCAGGGAAAATTGTATGGGCTTCGTGAAAAGCTCTATAGCGGCCTTAAGAACTTTTCTAGTTTTTCTAACTAAACGAGCTAATAAAAACAAATCAGTATTCTACAACAGTATCTGGAATTGACTACCATGACACATTTACATCCAATCAGAATAATATAACTGGTAAATAGCCTTACAAGCCCAATAGAAGGCTCTACTAATAATATTAGCGCACTTTATTGCCGTGTGATGCCGGCTTAGACAACATCACCCCATATTTTTCATGTGGGTGTCGTAGGAAGCGACTAAGGAGTTTGATGTAGGTATATTGCAATTTTAATTAGGCAACAGGCTGACGAACTATGGTGATACACAGTCTTCTGAAAAACTCTCAAACTTTCGTCAGACGTGGTGTTAATGACCGTTTTCTACAAGGGCTATAGGAGTGATATATTATGTATGTATTTATTATAAAATACATTTTATTATCAAGTATTAATTGGTACACAATTATTATATGTAAGTAAAATATAAATGACAACATATTACATAACATAACGTAAACAACATATACCATTCGTATGCAATATTATGTACATATTTTGGAATACTACCTAAGACTACCTATAGTATACCTATAATACAACAAGACACTTCTAAAAACAATGCAAAATATTTAAAGTATACCTACTTACAAACAAAATATTCAAACAATTTAAAAAATCGGGCAGCTTAGTTGTCACTTTGCGTATGACACTCGCAAAAGTGTGAAAATTCTAAACCTGTACACCTGTTAGCAACTCAGATTAGCTCCACTAATCTGAGTTTCAGGTTGCAGCCATAGATACCACATCAGCTAGGCCTTGGGTGGAACGTGTCAGCTACATTCACTCCAACTCCACTCCAACACTAACACCCTGTATCTCATCATCCAAATAGTCCGAATACCCGAACAGGTTTATCATAGGAATGGTATTTTAATGTAATTTCCACGAAAGACTCATCCAAATAGCGAAACGCCCGGAATCTTCCGAATAATACAACCAATCATTTAAAAGAGTGTTTGTTTGTTTACTCCAAATGAGAACACTCACTGGACATTTCCAAATAAGCTCCTATCCAGCTTAGTGAGAATACAGCTTAAATTGTTTTGTTTACTCATCTGTCCTGGTTAAGTGATCTGTTTTCCTTTTGTAAATAAAAATGTAAGCAACTTATACCTGAGTTACTCGTGTAGTGGGTGTAGAAATAAGGTCGTTTCTTTGTTTAAATGACTTATTTTGGTTTCTATCTACTAGCAAACTCGATTTTACCTACGGTTGTCACTAGGCCGTACCAACTTGTATTCTTACAATACCATCATATGGTTGTCAAAACTCCCTTTTCAACATAATAACGTAAGTTTAATACTGCCGAGAAGTGTATGAATGCATTTAAAAGTTTTTTTTTTATTTGTTTCAGATTTGGACAGCCGAAAGATGCATTTCAAAAAGCGAAAACTCTTCGAATGCGGATGAAGCTTCAGTGTCGACTAAATGGCCGACCACCTTCGCTTTAAATAAAATTGTTACAAAATGTGCTGTGGACTATAAATTCGTCATGAGTACCTTAAGTGATCCTAATGTGACACTTAATTTCACGGAGGCTGTGGACTCGACCAAAGTATTTGGCCCTCTAAGAGACCCACTCTACATAGTTATTCCGATAACAATAATATATATCGCAATACTAGTTACAGGGTTGATTGGTAATATATTTACGTGTATAGTGATAGTGCGAAATAAGAGCATGCACACCGCAACAAACTATTATCTATTCAGCTTGGCGATATCAGATCTCCTGTTGCTAGTGAGTGGAATGCCACAAGAGATTTACGTGACATGGTCAAAATGGCCGTATGTTTTTGGTCCTATATTCTGTGTAATCAGAGGGCTTGCTGCAGAGACATCCACAAACGCTAGCGTGTTGACAATAACACTATTCACGATAGAAAGATACTTGGCGATTTGTCACCCGTTTGTCTCACATAAGATGTCTAAGCTATCACGTGCGGTGAAACATGTGATGCTACTTTGGATGGTTTCGTTCGGGCTGGCACTACCGCAAGCGCTGCAATTCGGCATCAAGTACAATGAAGGTGTTGCCATGTGTCTACAAATAAGAGAAATCATCCCGCGCTCCTTCGAATTGTCCACATTTTTTTTCTTCTTCGCACCGATGGTCCTCATCACGGTGCTTTATTTTCTAATTGGCACAAGACTGAGAAAATCTACAATAAGTAAACAAGCATCAGAGAATGAAAACTTCGAAAGGGCTATGAGGTACAATCATAAAATACGACGAAAATACAGCCAGTCAACGAAGAGGGTCGTGAAAATGTTAGGTAAAACTATTTCATTATTTTTGTCGTTATCAAATATCTTGTTCAAATTCTTGTCTGTCAAATTAGTTTTCTCCTACATATAGGTAAAATAAATAAATGATAGATGTTCACTTTTCTGTCCGTATCTACTTATAACTTTAAAAACGTCTTCTCAATCACTATTTAGTCGACAACATATTCGTAGACATAATAACGTCCATCTTCAGTCGATTATATAAGCAAAACTTTACACGCAAGAGATTGTATCTCATGTATAGGAGAAGCTATCTAGTTCTAGTTTCTATATTTTCATGGATAAAATAGGTCTTATGCGATCAATATTTCTTTTATCACGTTTGCAGTGGCCGTCGTAGTGGCATTCTTCATTTGCTGGGCGCCGTTCCACGCACAACGTCTCATGTACATCTACACGGCGAGCTCCAACCATCTCGCTCTCTCGCCCCTAGAGCACTCCTTCTTCGTTATCCTCACCTATATCTCCGGGGTCTTCTACTACATGTCAACCTGCATCAACCCCATCTTCTATCACATCATGTCTAACAAGTTCCGGGAAGCGTTCAAGGTGAGTTGCACCAAAATATCACAAACCCCTCCAATACTGAAATAGTTATATCCCTTCTATTCAGAAGAATAAAGAGAGACCTACAGTCACAGGGTGGATTGTAATTGGATGTTTCTTAAATTAAAGACATTCTCTTTTTCTTGCATTAACTTCTGATAAGGAATAAATTATGTTTAACTAACTAAAATCTTCAATACGTAACGATGGCAGCTTACTCAACTTTTTCCTTGGATTACTCTTTTCATGATTTTATAACTTTAGTCTTTCTCAAAGAACGCTTTGTTTTTGTTCTCTTCCTTATTAATTGCTTTTGTTTTTTAGAATACTATGAAGCATTGGTGCTGCCGGCGGCGCAGTGAAAGAGGTGCAATCGAACGCTGTTCCTACACCGCAATCGCGTTCGCTCGCAACCCGAACTCTAACACTATTCATTCAGGTACGTGTTATCATTTTTCATCGTGTTTCTCACAAGTATTCTGTATGAAAATAGAAAACTTTCTGCAATGGGTGAGAGATTGACTGCCTCAAAATGCAAAATTATACTCCGAAAGTCTTATACAAACCACTTGGCAGTTTTCCAGAATACCAACGTAAACATGTCCTGTTGCAGGTAATTCCCGACAAGACACGCCGAGCCACACAAAAGTGACGCGACTCGACAGTCGAGAGCTCAGCAGAAACGGACACAGTCTCAACAACCATCTCTGCCGGTACTGCAACAGCCAGATTTCCACCACCCAGATTTGTCGAACTCACAGTTGCCACTACCAGTGCACAGACTTCAAAAAACGCGAAGTGGACGACCATCCGCGCGTAGACAGCCGCACGCAGTTCGAGATGACGCTTGTGCCTGAGAAGAAGAGGCTCTGTTCATCGTGCTGCACCAGCCAGTCCCCTGAAGAGCCATTCCCTTCGCCTACACCAGAACCCACGAGCAGCTCACAAGAAAACCGGACTGAGTATTACCCGGTACATGCCGACAGGTACATGAAAGAGTATAGAATTCGAATGAAGCAACGGGAATAAGACTGTGATTAGGAAATATTGAAATGGACTAGCAGTTTAATTTAATACTAAGGTGATATTGATATGGACGTGGAGTGTTTTAGTTGGATTTCCGCTCGTCCTTGATCAAATGGGCTGAATCAGCAAATTCAGTTAGCTTGGTTTTGCAATTATCAGAATATGTGATTTGGTAGGTATTGTAACTAAAATGAAATCAATTTAATTTTGTAACACGTGCGTCGGCTTCTTTATTTTATTTTCTTTTATCAGTATAGATGTTTAAAATAGTAGCTTTTATAAGTAGGTAAAAATAACCTGCGTCTTTGAAATTTGATACGAGAAGTTATATTCAGAAACATAACTTGTAATTTTGAAATTCCTTACCAACCTCTGAGTCACATAAGGCTTCATAACTTTTACAATTCTGACAAATGATAAAGACTAATAAATGCTCACCCAGCCATACTAGTGGAATCAGAGAGCAGTGAGTGGAATGGAATAGCGTAATAATTCTTTCAATATTATAAGTTGTTTTCTACAGGCTCATCATTTCAATAAGTTTTGCACGAACAAATCCCGATATCTTAAAGGCCAAGCAGGATATATATTTACTGTGCTGTTAATACAGGCAGGATATATAAGAAATTGAAAAAAAATACATGCATCAACCGGGGCTCAAACCCGGGCCGCATGGGTCAATGTTACACCGCTCTGCCACTGAGCTATCGATGCACCGATATCGCTAGATCATAGCATGGAGACGAGCATCAATAGATTGAAATGTGTCAAGAATCGATTGGTGCATCTACAGCTCAGTGGCAGAGTAGTGGGACGTTGACCCATGTGGCCCGGGTTTGAGCCCCGTTCGAAGCACGCAATTTTTCAATTTCTTATTTTCTTTTATGTAATAACAACAATGATCTGATTAGTTTCTTTTTACGACCTCCGTTTGTAGTCTCAGCATTAAGGATGTTTTTATTGTATTACGATATCTACTACAATTGTGTTCTAATGAATAAGCTACACAGGGCAGGGCTACTTCAAACAAATTGAAATATTGGTTACAAAACCAAATTGAAAAGCAAATTAAATGAAATTACCTCTACAAGAGTTTATTTCCTTATTTGTTATGTTATTTTCATTACGGATGTTTGTTTGTTTGTTGATGTTTTCTGTGTAGCTTGTGTGATTACGTACGTACAATATTTGTACTTTACAATATTTCTGCCCTAAAATATTTTGTATCGGCTGTGTTTGTATCATAAGAACATTTTTTGAAAAAAAAAGTGTCAGAGAGGACCCTACAAACAAATAAAGAGATGTCACGAAAAACTTATCGCAAATACCTGTATTATAACTATTACTTATAGACAACTTTAGTTATCCTGGAAAATTACAAGAAAGGTTTGTGCAGTCGCTTATGATGTTCCATAAAGAAAGTTTTCAATTTCATGGTTTGTAATGAACTATTTTAGGAAGATGCGACCTATTTTTATGGCTTCTTGACGGTTTGTCAGAGGGTTCCCACTAAAACATCTCCTGTACACTAGATTTAAAGTATAAGTTCTAAGTAGATACTGTACATAATTTTGACTGTGAGACAATGGAAAAAATTTAATAATTCGTTTCAAAATTGTATTGAAATAATTATGTTGATAAATAAAGTGTTTAATGTCTATTATTTGCTGTTTATTTTCATCTTTTCTGAGAAGGAAAAGCGAAAGCCGCTGATATAAAATGGTTATTCAAGCCACGTCTGAAAAACAATTTAAGGATAATTCCCGGAAATTATATTCCCAAAGTAAGAGGTTGTCAGTCCATCATCTAAAATTACGATACAGACCATTGAGTCCCTTAGTAGCCTCTTAAGACACCTATGAAAAATAAATAGGGCGATTCTATTCTAAGCCAGCATTACGCGGCGGCATTATTAAAATGTTATAAGAATTAAACATTTGTATAGGGACAGCTTTCCGAATACTGATAGGGTGCAACTCAAACCATGCTTCCTATCAACTTACTAAAATAAAATAATTCAGGAAATGTAAAAAAAAATGAACTTTCGTACAAAGTCACGATCAGCTGATTGCATTTACCATGGGAACTCAACAATTTTTTGGAGAACTTCTTTAGACATTACACCATATAGCCAACAGAAACAAAATTATACAGCAATATTAAAAAGAACTTATGGAAAACTATTCAGTTTCAAGGTCTGAATGTAGGTCGGTACCTACTCATCAGTATTCGGGGAGCTGTCCCTTACATCCTATATGGGGTGAAATTGTACTGGTGACCGATAGCGAAAACACAGAACGGCTGGTGATAAGGAACACCTTTTCCCTAAGAACATAGGTTGAATGATGAAAAATTAAAAATTTGGACCTCCCATAATTGCCGATCAGGTGATTTAAGTTACTATGTGTATTTAGGGCGATTTCCCATCACCGTGCATTGAGAATCTGGTAATCATCTCCTAACTATCTAGGTATTGTCTAAACTTAGGCGGATCTCATATCTAACGCACGCGTCTGTCAAATGCATGGAAATTTGGAATTCAAGGCCAAACTCAAAAACTTGCATCAGCATCTGTTTCTATTATAATTTTTATTGTAAATGGTATGTATCTATCTACCTACTCTTTTGCACAATGGACGTCAAGTATGAGATCCGCTATAACCTCGTGAGTCCTGGCGCCTGATTGCTATTTTTCATAACAGTCATTTAATAAAAGTGCAATAAAAATACTATTGTCCTCGGCTGAGGACCTGAGGTCTCAGGAGGATGGATAAAGCTGCATAGAGTTCAGTCACAGTAAATTCATAAAGTATCTACATAAAAAGGAAATACTTAAGAAGAAAGAAAGGAAGGAAGCAAGGAAAACACTTCCGACACTTTTGACTGTGTATTAGGCAAAGACTAAATACAGGTCTGTGGCTGTTAAGGTAAGGTAAGGTAAATACAGGTCATTTGGGAACATACCGTACAATTTTGCGATATTTGACAGCAAGCCCCAATTCTACCCGTGGTTGTCGTAAAAAGCGACTAAGGGATATTCATCCAGGGAATGGGCAGCAGCGTTCCCTGTAAATGTAACATCTGGCCACTGCGCTCGCCAATCCGCCTGCCAAGCGTGGTAAGTATGGCAATACCCCCCGATAAGGGGAGGCCCATGTCCAGCAGTGGACTGTTGTGGCTGTTATGGTATGGTTATTCCTATAAATAAGCCCCCGGAGCATAAAGCCAGTCATCTTCCTTAATTTTAAGAAAAACTATTATACCTATCCTAAGTTTAGCCAAGTCCTGAGTGCCTGCGATTTCATCATCGGCAATTTGGCCTGATGCTATTTCGGTCTTGTGTAGTAAAACGCGTTTGAGGAAAGGTTTGAGTGTTGTGTAAATGGCTGAAAAAAGATCAAGAGGTTGAACAGCCCATTAAATATAAAAAAATCCCCTAGGACAACGTATGGCACAAAAATGGATCTCCCATACCTACAAAATTATTAGTCGTCAGTCAAGACATTTTGTATGGAAGATCATTCTTTTTCATTTCGAATTATGATTATGATCCTCGGGGTATGTGAAAATATAGTGTTACTATAATATTAACATCAACATGTATTTACCTAGTGCGTAAAGTTTTACCCTGGTACGAAAAGTAAAAGTTAGGCGCATCTGATACACCGCATATTTGTCGTAAAATATTAAGGTGGAACCGCATAGAAGCGCTGCGGAACGGTGCGATAGTTGAACCGTAAGTAGATGATGTCAGTGAGTGTTCATTAATTTTATTACTATCACAATGAATTATCAATGATCTGTATGAATTAAACTGAACGACAATAATGCAGCACCGGCCAGTCGTCAGTAGCCTCCAGCATGGAGGAAATATACTACTAGAAACTTTTATTTACAGCGCCCCTTGAATTAAGCCAAACATTTTTATTTTACATTTATTTCTGAGAAAGAATTTACAAGATTCTCTTTAAGAAAGTCACATCGTTTGAATAACGTTTTGTTGTTCTAGACACTCCTAGTATGTTTCCTCCTTAGTAAGGAAAAATCTTGAAAATACTTGCCACCGCTGCGCGACCCACGACCACGACTCGTCACTCTTCAGGCTGTCCACTATTTCAGAATAATAAAACATATTAAATTGCGCGGAATGCTGTACCCACCCACATGCGGATGAATTCTGCCTGACTAGGCCTTTACCTGTAACAAAGAATGCTTGTCATCTTGCGACCCCTGACTCGTCACTCGTCAGAATACCTTGTTATAACGTAACCTACATCACGGGAAACGCTCTACACGCGGCCGGCTTCTGTCTGATGAAGCCTTTACGTGCAAGAATGCTTGTCATCGCAGCGCGACCCCAGTGATCGTCACTTGTCAGAATATCCGCTATTTGATATAACGTAACCTACACATCACGGGAAGCGCTCTACATGCGGCCGGCTTCTGTCTGATAAAGCCTTTACTTGTAAGAATACTTGTCATCGCAGCGCGACCCCTGCGATCGTCACTTGTCAGAATATCCGCTATCATCACGGGAAACGCTATACATGCGGCCGGCTTCTGTCTGATGAAGCCTTTACTTGTAAGAATGCTTGTCACCGCAGCGCGACCCCTGCGATTGTCACTTGTATAACGTAACCTAAGTACACCTCACGGGAAACGCTCTACATGCAGCCGGCGTCTGTCTGACTAGGCCTTTACGTGCAAGAATGCTTGTCATCGCAGCGCGACCCCTGACTAGTCACTAGTAGAATTTTCGCTTATTGTAGGTAAATGACTTACGAACCACTATAACATGCGGCCGATTTCTGTCTGACTAGGCCTTTACCAACAAAGAATGCTCGTCATCGCAGCGCGACCCCAGTGATCGTCACTCGTCAGAATATCTACTATAACCTACACATCACGGGAAACGCTCTACATGCGGCCGGCTTCTGTCTGATGAAGCCTTTACTTGTAAGAATGCTTGTCATCGCAGCGCGACCCCTGTGATCGTCACTTGTCAGAATATCCGCTAATTGTTATAACATAACCTAAACATCACGGGAAACGCTCTACATGCGGCCGACTTCTGCCTGACTAGGCCTTTACGTGCAACAAAGAATGCTTGTCATCGCAGCGCGACCCCTGTGATCGCCACTTGTCAGATTGTCCGCTATTTGTTATAACGTACGCTCGTTGGTACGCTCTACATGCGGCCGGCTTCTGTCTGATGAAGCCTTTACGTGCAAGAATGCTTGTCATCGCAGCGCGACCCCTGCGATCGTCACTTGTCAGACTGACCGCGGCCGTTGGCACTGCCACTTGAATTGCTCACGCTACATGCGGCCGGCTTCTGTCTGATGAAGCCTTTACGTGCAAGAATGCTTGTCATCGCAGCGCGACCCCTGCGATCGTCACTTGTCAGACTGACCGCGGCCGTTGGCACTGCCACTTGAATTGCTCACGCTACATGCGGCCGGCTTGTGTCTGATGAAGCCTTTACTTGTAAGAATGCTTGTCATCGCAGCGCGACCCCTGCGATCGTCACTTGTCAGACTGACCGCGGCCGTTGGCACTGCCACTTGAATTGCTCACGCTACATGCGGCCGGCTTCTGTCTGATGAAGCCTTTACGTGCAAGAATGCTTGTCATCGCAGCGCGACCCCTGCGATCGTCACTTGTCAGACTGACCGCGGCCGTTGGCACTGCCACTTGAATTGCTCACGCTACATGCGGCCGGCTTGTGTCTGATGAAGCCTTTACTTGTAAGAATGCTTGTCATCGCAGCGCGACCCCTGCGATCGTCACTTGTCAGACTGTCCGTGGCCGTTGGCACTGCCACTTGAATTGCGCACGCACGTGGCCCGACTTCC